CAGCTGAACTGATCGAGCAGAAACAGTTGGTCACCCAGGCGCGAGATGAGATAGGTCGTGTGGAACTTGCACTCGCGGAAATGACAGAAACTGCGGAAAGTATGCAGTATAGCATATTCTKGTTGTTGCTGCCCGATCCGAAGTCTCTTGTGACGGATCTGAGGGRGGGCATGACYGAACAATTTWAAAAAATGGCGGACTCAAAAAATTGCACGTTAGAGGATTACCAGAGTATGGTTGCGAATCTCAAATGCTATCGAAAAAATMTRCTTAGTCTCATCGACAATTYGTTCCGTGRCACAGCACAAAAMGYTTGTGAATGGGATGTCACATGTTGTTCCTCTGYTGASAAATGTGTGRTCAGGGAAGGGTGGGGGTCTTACGATAGTCAGGAACTGGACAGAGGTCCGCTRACAKCGTSGTCGAAAAGTCTTGTAGATCTTTTGTCYTTTGCCGAGGACTGCATCCGTCATTGCACGGAGACCGTAGAGCACTACACKCTCAACCATCRGCCGWAGACYGACGGCGCACATACRGGATGCGATGGCCTTAATGGGAACGTACGGACTCTGCTGAACAGCTGCGCCGATATTGTATGTTCTCTTCAGCAYACCAGAGGTCGYCTRGCATCCGGACAATTGTCYGTAACRCCGAACCCCGTAGAAACCAACRAGGCGCACAATGAGCAAGYCACGAACGYTAGCAGGGAGGTCGATCTCACTATGCGGATGTGCAACAACRACGCAGGTCGAAGTGTCTGTGAGGCACCGGCACACTTGTTGCTAGACTGCAAAGATATCAACACCTTTCGATGTCATGAAATTCGACACAATTTCCCTTGCGTCCTCGCCAGCAAAGCACCGTTGACAAGCAATGCAGAGTTCGCAGTGCCTATGACCACGAAAATATTTGAACAGTTTGTGGCAAGTGCTAATAAACGACAAATAACAAGGCTTGTGGCGGATTGCATATCCCACCTTATTTCTTTCGCAAAAGAGATGATGTCGAGAGTCGTAACAAACGCAGAGCATCGTGCAGAGGTCATCAATTGTCAGCATTGCCAGAAAGGACTCCGCATCAACGACCAGCTAAGGACTCTCTATAAAAGATGTAAAGTCGTTGCAGAGCGTCTCGTCAAAGAAGTTTGATGTGCGAAGATTAGTGAGGCTGGTTTCTCTCTCTCTCTCTCTCTCTCTCTCTCTCTCTCTCTCTCTCTCTCTCTCTCTCTCTCTTCCGTGTGCAGACATTTTCTCATCGTTGTGGCCCGTGAATGACGTGGTTGACTACCGCGTGCCACATTCCGTTCAAACGACAATGAATAACTTTATATGGCCCGCGGTAGTCAACCTCTCTCTCTCTTTCTCTTTTTTACTTTTTTTTTTTTTTTTTT